ACACACACACACACACACACACACACACCAGCACACCTTCCCTTCCTGCTGCTGAAATCTGGGAAGCACCTGCGAAGAAGACGCCAGTTCTGTGTTTTCAGCGCTTTCCCCCACCCCCAAACCTGTAACATCCCGTCTCCTGTACCCAACCAGCACTCCAGGCTCATGAAAGATTGAGAGCCGAGGAGTGACAGACAGAGCTCTCTTCAGAAGGGCTGGGAAAACGCGCGGCTTTCGAGACACGCGGCTCGTGCCCGACGCGAATAATTCATAACCCCGCGCCGCGTTTCAGGAATATTAAACACGGGACGCGGGAATTTGGAGAATATTAAATAAAGATACGAGCCCTCCCAGCCAACAGGATCCATCCATCAAGCAGCGCTCCCCACCTCCTCTGACAGAATTAGCCATCAAGCACACATAAACATCTCACCCGCTCCCAGAACTGCTCCAGAGGAGCAATTTCGGGTCTCCCAGGTATCCATACACTTGAAACACAAACTAACCGTAAACAGGCTTAATGAGATTATACAGATTAAATGGGTACATTAACTTTTTTTTTTTCCTTTCAAGAGGCAGCCACGACAAAGAGGTCCCACAAACGCTTTAAAAGCAGCTCCTTCCGGCTCTGAGTTCGCTCATCCAGTCAATTTTTTCCAAAAGGCAGGTTCGAGTGCGACTGCCTGACTCACACAAACTGAACACGAAGAAGCCTCAAAGTACTTTTAGGAACACATGGAGATGTGAACATGACAAGTGTTTTCTAAAAGCTCATACAGCACAAGTTCCCAGCTCAGGCAAGCGCTCAGCCTAACACACCAGCCCCCTGCTAAGCTGAGCCTATTTTTAAAAGGGGATTTAACACCGTCTTCAGAGCTCCACGGAAATCAAGCTCTCCCTTGGATTCAGCCTTGGATGGGGATGGGGGGGGGAAGAGGAAGGGAGTAGGCTGATGGAGAACAAGCCAACAGCTTCATATTGTCACCCCAGTGTTTTTGTTGTGTGTCACTCAACTCCACTCCTCATCACAAGTTTCTCTCTCCCTGTCAGCTCACACACACACAGACACACACATACACATTCCCGGCCAAAACACCAGTGATTCCTCCAGAGAAACAAAACAAAACAAAAAGCTCCAAGCGGGGACAGCTTAAACTGAAAATTAGCTGGAGAATTCCAGAGGCAAAGGGTCACCTGAAGATCTCTCGGCAGAGCAGAGGAAGCGCCGGCTGTGCTGCCAGCAGGAAAGGTCACCTCTGCCTGCTCGCAGCAGCAGCGCCCAATATTTGTTACCCGTCGCTGTTTGTTTTCCAATTCGACATCAAAGCATCTGGGCCCTGTCTAAACACAAAACCTTTGGTCAGGTTAGAGGTGAGGTTCTATTCCTCTGTAAATAATGCGCTGTTTTACTGGTACAAACACAGCTGAGAGGAACTGATACTCGGCTCCTGACAAGACAGTTGCTGCTGTCGGCACACAAATGTCTTCAAATCCGCTCCGAGCAGGAGAGGTCCTGTCTGTGCTTGTAGATCTGTGAGCACACATGAAACACCCAACAGGAAACCTGCTCTGAGCTCCAGGCAGCCACTGCACTAACCCAGCTATGACTGGGCTCCACATTTACATCAGGGCGCTCTTCCATGCTCCTGGAACGTAACCTGTGAGAGGAAACTCGGAGCAATGCCCTCATTGCCTCAACACAATCAAAAGGCCAATTGGTGCTCTAATCCCGGCCTAGGGAAGCTGTAAACTCTGCACACAGTTAAACATTAGTGGCTGCTTCCTCTCCCCCACATTCACATATGCAGCCGTTCTTAAAACCAGCATGGGAAGGGTTATTTGTTATTTTAATTTACAGCAGAACCGCTGAAATTTGGATGAACCCTTTCCTCGCCTCTCTCCAATCTCCAAATGGAACCTGCACCCTTTACAGACCTTTAAGAGGTTTGGCGCTTTTTTTGTTGGGTTAGATTCTGGTTTGTTGGGGTTTGTAGGGCTTTTTGCTTGGGGTGGGGGTTCCCCCCTCCCCAAGCCTCTGGTTATGCAGCATCCAACCCGGAGCCTGCAAAAAAACAAATTACTGACACTATCACACCTTTTACGGTTCAGGAACTCTGACTCTTTTCCTGTACTTACCTGGTGTTCAGGTTTATGTTCCAGGTGACCTCTGCTCAAGCTGTAACTCCTCACAGGTCCCTGTTAAAATCCAGCACCACACCAATACCCCGGGCAAGGAAAACCCTGCCAAGCACAGAAACGTCTGAGGAACTTCAGTCTCTTTTGAACGACAGAATTGCAGACAACGACCTACTGTAACTGTCACCAGCAACTGCCACCAACTGCCCCTTTGCCAGCCCTGCAAGGGATCACCTTTGTACCAAACTCCAACCAGCAAGACACAAATGCAAACAAAAAAACCCCCAAAGAAATATATATATATATATCCCAAGGCCTGTGCACTGGTGGCACTCGGTGCTGGTTAAAACAACAGCTTGTTATGAGGTAAAAAACACAAATTGGCTCAGATTCCCCCTCAAAGCTGTGAGAGAGCCAAAGAAATGGCTGTTGGGACAGACAGGGCAAGGCTCAGCTGAGGAATGGGGACAGGGAATTCAAGGATACGAAGGGCTGCACAGCTCTGCTCTGGGTGTCTTCGGGAGGAATCCGGCGGGTTATTTTTTGTGCAGCATCTTGGATGCACTTCTGTCACAGCAGGGATGAAAAAACAAGAGTGGCTCCCCCAGGGAGCTGTGAGGACTAAGGCAATTCACATGCTAACACGTGGGGGGAAAAAAAAAAAAAAAAAAAGCAGGATTTTACAGGAAGGCTCAGCTTAGGAAGTGTTGGGGAAAACAAACAAACAGTAAAATACCAACCGACCAACCACAACCCAAAAAGAAACAGCTCAGCCCACTGGAGAGCTCCTCACACAAATAAATGAGTGTTCACAGCTCCCTGTTCTCCCTCTCCAAATGCTGAGGTGGCCAAGGAAAAACACACCTGAGGCAAGGAGGGGACACCAGAAGGGTTAAATCTTCATGCTCTGAGAGAGCTGCACCTCAAAGAGGGCAAAATTCAGCCAGAAAGACAGGATGGGAAGAGAGAAGGAGAAGAAAAGAACACACACACAAAAAAAAAGATAAACAAGCTGAGGAATGCAGCAGATTTTAAAATAAAAGCTTTGATGTGCACAGGGATGAGTGTAATAAACTCAGCTGGGATGTTGTGACCAAGGTAAGGGGAACAAGAAGTGAATAAAGTGACTCAAAAGCAGGTACAGCCTCCCAGCTGGAAACCAAAACAAACCAGGCAAGGCACATTTAAGGAAAAAAAGTTCATTTGTTCATCACAGAAATCACTGATATTTCCCCCCTGGTTTGTTTCCTCTCCTCTGTAGGGACCAACGGTGAAATTCAAAAATGGTTTTGGAGAAAATCCCTGCCCTGGGAATCTCCAAATTACAGAATGGTAAACTGTAAGCCAAGAATATTAAAACAAAACCCAGTGTGTGTGTCTGCCAGGTTTTGTGGTACTTAGGGCAAGACATCAACCTCTTCAGCAGCCTCTTGAATTCAACACAAAAGAATGCACAAGAGTTATTTTAGAAGGACAAAGAAAAAAAAAACCCAAATATTTGTCAAGAAAAAGAAGTCATATATCAAAGGGAAAATTTACATACTTGAAAATCTAATATATGCATTAAAAAGCAAACAGGAAGCTGTTTGTTCTCAGCTGTATATAAAAAAAAAAGCAAAGAAAATAAAACTCTGAATAGTTTCAATCTGTGTGGGAGGGGTAAAGCTCAAGAAAAGGAGGGAAGGAAGGACTGAGCAAAGGCATCTTTTTTCAGCTCCATCAAAGCAGCTGTAAAACAATGGAAGTTTGCCTGTTTAAACTGAAACTCTGGGAATGGAAAACTCGATACCCCCATCAACGGCCTGTTTAAACTGTTATAACATAAAGCATGTTCGGACTCACAGCTGAAGGAAATGACTCCCAAATGCTTCCCTCGCGATCTTCCTTCCAGAGCCAGACACAGCCTTCACCAAGAGGTTTTCTTTCTCCACACACAAACTGAACTAACAGAGATGGGAAATTCCCACTGGATTTAGGGCCTTTTATTGGAATCACAGAGGGGGTGGGAATTGTGACTCCACAAAAACCCAGTAAGCACCTTCAAAGGCCTCTGAAAATTCAATAGGGTTTTGTTGGGTTTTTTTTTCACTAAGTGACAACAACCCCAGGATGTGACCATACCTATAATAATCTCTCCCTCCAGACAGGGAGATAAGCTCTAAAAACAGGAAGTTCCTGCTATAATCTTGAAGAAATGTTTAACAGCCTGAAACCACCCAACCCCAGTTCTGTTACAGAAAGAAGAAACTCTGGGCTACAGGACAAGATACTCAGCAGATGGGACTAATTCACCCTTCCAGAACCCCCAAAAACATGGAAAAATGTGAAGGTTCTCGGTTTATTCCTCTTCTTTTCACCCCCACAGATTCATAAGAGTGAACAATAGTGGGTTATTTAAAAAATGGACACTCTCCCACATTTCTTAAGAGCCTTAAAAAAAAAAAATAAACCAAGGTAAGAATTGCACCCAAGCACTGGGAGGTGTATCTGCCTTGGCCACGCTACAGCCACTCACCCAAATATAACTCTGACCCTTCTCAGAAAGGTCTCTTTGCACTTTGGAAGGCTTGATAAAGAGATCAAGTCAAAACTGCACTCAGAGCCTTAAATCACACTAATTATCTGAGCAGGTTGCTGGACTCTGCTTACTTGGCCTTGTTTTTATTTCAGGCAGACAGGGATTTGCTGGTGCACCGCCGCCGTTTCACGCAGCAGTGAGTCTGCAGCCACCTACACAGAAACTTTTAGTCAACTAAAAGGAAGCAGCAGATTTTTGATAGCCGTGATCAGCCAGTTAACAGTCACCAAAGCCTTTCAGGGTAAGTTTGACAACGTTTCTCACATTGAAGATGAGGAGGTGGCAACAGTTAAACGTGGCTTACACCAACTTATCCAACCCCCTCTCCGAAGAAATGGATCCTGCTGGATATTTTAACATAAATCACTGCTGCTTGTCGATACAATGCTCATTTTCCTGTTGGTGTTTAATATAAAACAATATAAAATCACACCAAGGGCTTGAAAATCCCACTCACGTGACTGTATCCTGACTCTGAACTTCCTTCCAAATTCTCCACTAGGACACACACACTGGTTTTATCTACATTCATGGTGGTTTCACGTGTTATGCAGCTACAGGAACACGGAAATTTAGTGTTTTTAGGAAGGCTACACCTCCAACACAGCAGCTTTTCCCTTCCACTTTTCCTTCAGTGGCCTACTAAGAGAATTCAGCATAAAAGGCATCCCAGATCTTCTATTTAGTTGTCTCTTCTTGCAATCCACACAAAATAAGACAGAAGCACTTGAAATACAAAATCCCCATCAGAACTGAGCGGCCAAATAATTGCAGGGCATCACAGCCATAGGGATATGTGAGAGGTATTCATGGAATTCCTTAAAAGCACCTGCAGAAAACTTGTAAAATCTGAGAGCACCACTCCCTGCCATCCTAAATGGTGTCCCAGGCATTGTGTTACATCTCTGGTGAAGTAACTGCCTGCAGATGGCAAAGCAGGACCCGAAACACACCCACCAAGGGACAATTCCACAAAACAAACATTCACTTCAGGAAGTCTTTGTACGTCCTACATTAAATTTACAGGAAGAGCAAACACTCCCGGACAAAAGGAACTCACGAGTTTTGGAGGATGTCGGGCAAGTTCCCAGCGCACCAGCAGACAGCCTGAAAGCCACTGCAGAGACACAGAGAAATCCTCCCTCAGCAAAAAAGGGCTCCAGAGCAAACCGTGCCCAGTTGGCAGCGAGGTGACAGGGTCCAGCTGCAGCATTGCCATCTAGTGTCAGCCTCCCAAAAACCACCAGAACATCGAGGAAAGCCATGAAGCCACTGAAGAGACTGGACTTGGCAGCTGAAAATCCTTCGGTTTTCCCCTCCCGTGCTGCCATCAGCCCAGCTGAGGGCACCAAGGGAAAACCCAGAGAGCACCAAGTCAGGCAGCGTCACAGGAGGCTCCTTGCTGTGCTTGGCTCCCCCCTCTGCAGCTGATAAATCACCCCATCAACCAGCAGATGAGCTGACAAACAACAGAACCGGTGTGCAAAGGGCTCAGAAAGCCAGAAGTGCACGGGCAGGGCTGTGGGATTCACGGAGCAAACAAAGTGCACCTTCCCAGCTCCAGGTGCTGTCGTCTCATTCCTCCTGTCTGGGTTCTGACAAGGTGACTGACAGGAACTGCCGGATTTTCATGCTAATGTTTTATCAGGGAAAAAAAGCACACGTCACCTCATGAGTTCATTAACAATCCATTTTATTAAAGCTTGGCAGGCAAATTCCTCCCGAAGTAAAACCTGCTGCTTTTGTGGTTTGGTTTTGTGTGGGTTTTTTTGGTTTTTTTTTTTTTTTTTGGATCTGAACACGCCAGGGTGGCACATCAAGAGGGGAAAACATAATTTAAAAGACTTTGTTTCGGTTTCACAGAATCATCACTGAGCAGTCACAGATCCAACTCATTCTTCACTGCCTTCAGTCACCGAGTTTCAGAAGGAAAAGGTTGAAATCACAACAGCACGAGGAAGTTCACACTCAGGTGACCTCCCACAGCAAGAACTTGTGCTCTCCCCCCTAAACAGCAGACAAAAATGTCCCACTGCACGTCTCACTTCCAGGAGGATGCCAGTGGGTAGCACAGGTAAAACAGATTCGGCAGGGAATGTCAGGAGTAAATAAAAAAGGGGGGGGGGGGGGAATCAAGTAGAAGTTTAGAGCAGAGAGGGAACTGGAGAACTGTCTCCAACCTAAGCCTGTGTTTCCAGGCTCACCTGCAAAGCCCAGCTGTTAACAGGGCTTAAACATCAGCAGTGATCTGAAGACAGCAACAGCAAGTTTATTCCACAGACCCCCCCAAGCAGAGACTGCTTATTCCACTCCCCAATTTACAGGGTTACCAGGCAGCAATTCCAACCTCACCACCACCATCTAACACTTCTCCAAAGGAATGGCCAACCAAACATTCCCCCTGGGACTTCCCAGGGAAATCTGCACTTCGGGGTCCCACCAAGCAGAGGTGCCACTGATGTGTTTTAAATAAGCAGAGCCCACCGGACAAATGAGGTCAAGAACAAGCGAGACAATCGTGTTGGATCCAGTTCTTGGAATGAAAAGCCCGAGTGCCTTTCATGGCTCCCACTACAAAGAAACCCATCATTAGGCCTCGT